TATCGACTATATTCCACAATATATCCTTCCTCCAAGCTGCAAAATTAATCATAAATTTTATAATTATACGAATATTTCTCTAAATCATTCCTTAACAGTAAAATCTCTCTCAAGACCTAATATCTGTATAGAACAAGGAGTCACCGATTGTGAAGACTCAAGACAATTTTAAATGAAACAATGATAAGCCCATGCTTTTGGATCAAACTAGGTAGGTATGTATACTATTATCTTTCACTAATTAACAATTTTCGATTGCCAATGAGTACATGACTAATTAGTATTGTTGTGTAATCATATGAATTTTTAATAATTTAATTGTAAACGACACTACAGTGAAACAAACACCCTCTCTTATCGCCATCTTAAATTTGGCTCCTCTTTCTAACCAACTTATTGTTCAAGCCTTCTGACAACAAAGGACACAAAAACATGCGATTATGAAGGTATGAGTCGAGATTTTACTGGTATGGTTAATATCGGCAAATTGTAATATTAATCAATAAATTACATAGGTTTTAAAATATTTTTACTTTGAGATTTACTGGTAGATTTTCGAAAATTGGTCTTCAAAGCCCTCTTTCTATAATGGCTGTTGTGTGTGAGGAGAATTGTTTAATGATTAAAAGTATGTCGTGTAAGATAACAACTGACGACAAAGCTGGTGTACACTGCAGAAATCCCCAAAGATTATAAGAATTTCATTTTGTGAAAGTCCGGCCGCCAGAAACCAAGGTATTTCCTCTCCATCATTTACAAATGATTTCGTATTGGTATTTTTACCCAAAATTACTGCATGATTTCTGCTCATTTTAAGCTCTACTGGTCAGAGACCAGAAGAGCTTATGCGATAGTAAGGTGTCCGTCGTCCGTTTGTCTGTAAACAATTTTTCAAAACGCTACTCCTCCTACAGTTTTGGTCTTATTTCAATATAACTTGGCACACAAGTAGACTACACTAAGATACATAATTTAGTGCATCGGTTTTTGATTTCGATGAATGCTGTTGCCATGGTTACTAGAAATAGAAATTTCTGTGAAATTCCTTTAAAACGCTAATCCTCTTGCAGTTTTGGTCTGATTTCAATATAACTTGGCACACAAGTAGACTACACTAAGATACATAATTTAGTGCATCGGTTTTTGATTTCGATGAACGGTGTTGCCATGGTTACTAAAAATAGAAATTTCTAAGAAATTCCTTTAAAACGCTACTACTCCTACAGTTTTGGTTAGATTTCAATATAACTTGGCACACAAGTGGACTTCACTTAGATACATAATTAAGTGCATCGTTTTTTGATTTCGATGAACGGTGTTGCCATGGTTACTAAAAATAGATATCTCTTTGAAATTCCTTAAAAACACTACTCCTCCTACAGTTTTGTCTGATTTTAATATAACTTGACATACAAGTAGACTACACTAAGATACATAATTTAATGCATCGGTTTTTGATTTTGATGAATGTTGTTGCCATGGTTACTAAAAATAGAAATTTCTGTGAAATTCTTTAAAACGCTACTCCTCCTACAGTTTTGGTCTGATTTCAATATAACTTTGCACATAAAAAGACTATACTAAGATACATAATTTAGTACATCGGTTTTTTATTTCAATGAACAGTGTTGCCATGGTTATTAAAAATAGAAATCTCTGTGAAATTCCTTTAAAATGTTATTCCTCCTACAGTTTTGGTCTGATTTCAATCTAATTTCGCACACAATTAGAATACACTATGATACATAATATGTATTTCAGTTTTTGATTTTGATGAATGGTGTTGTCATGGTTACTAAAAATAGAAATTTCTGTGAAATACTTGCAAAATGCTACTCTTCCTTCAGTTTTCGTTTGATTTCAATATAACTGGCAAAGAAGTAGACTACATTAAGACACATATTAATTCCATTTATTGTTGCATGTTGCAAAATTTCAAATCCATGTGCTACTTTTCCTTTGTTATACGTACAGACCAGTAGAGCTACAGTCTCATCAGAGACTTCTGGTTAAATTTCGTGATGCATTTAAACGTTATATACAAACAGTAATAAGAATGATGAACTAAAAGTTCAGGGCGTGAATTAAGATTTAGTTTCCAGAATCGCAAGATGTAGTGTTTCTTTTCATTGTTATTTTTTCCCTTTGAAATCAAAATCTAGTTTAATTTAAGAAAAGACGTGTTACTTTACATCATCAAAACAGTTCTTTTGTAGATAATTGCCTTATCAACTGTTCTGATAGTTAAGAATACACCTGTGTTTTACTAAATGAATTTCAATTACAAAGAATATGACTTCTTTCGTTTGAGATTAATTTATGCTTTACAAATTTACCAACAATAAACAAATGTTTGTTAACACAATTACTTATATATAATACTTTCGGACCACCCGTTTGATGCGTATCAAGAAATTATAGATAACTAAAGCTGGTTCACGATTCTTACGTGGTACCTGCAAATCAATTGCATGCTATATACAGTTATTAATAACACACACGTAATACTATAGTAATTAATATGAATTATGTTACAAATGTATTTTATTGAAGTATATGTACAATCTAGTTGTATTTTAAGTAGTTAAGGTGACGACTGGTCACAATTACTTATAATACTTCCGGACTTCCCGTTTGATACGTAACAAGAAATAGATAACTAAAGCTGGAATTTACTGGTTCGCGATTCCTACGTGGTATCTGCATGCTACATGTATATACAGTTATTAATAAAACACTCGTAATAACTAAATTATTATAATGAAGTATATGTACAATCTGGTTGTATTGTAAGTAGTTAAGGTGACGACTGGTATGTATATCACTTTAGAATTTTTTTTAATATTGATCATTCAAAGCTTTTACTACCTATTTATTTTAAAAATCTTACCATTTGATCTAGACCTGAATATTTACATCCCAGACCTATGAAGAGTGACAAGATATGTAGACTGAGAAGTAGTTTAAAATATCACGTCATACGTGTTAACGTCAAATTTATAATCTCAACCTTTGATATAAGATTTAAGAATATCTATTATAGAAGCGTTTTTTTTTTCTAGGTCCAGGTTGCACCTGTACAAAGAATACAAAGTAACAGGTATCTAGCTAAAAAAAAGAGTTATCATATAAAATATCTATGGTTAAAAGCTTCCCTGAAATCCCAAAATATATTTATTTAGCAATTCTACACCTCTGAGGTGAACTACATGTGTTAGTGCATTGTAGTTATAGGAAAGAAATTATACTAGTGTCTTGCATAGAAGTTTGTAAGTTGAAATACGATTTTCCAGCTCATTCCCTTCGTCAATTAACCATTCCCTGATAAAGTTTACAGTGAGTGAAAAAATGCATTGTTTCCAGAATTCCTTTGATAGGACACATGGTACTAGATAAACTTGTATGAATACAATATTACATAGTATAATATAAGAAGACAAGTACTCTGATATAGTTAAAATATTGTACTAGTAATACAAGTGAAATTAACAAGAAAGCTCACTGAAACTGGTGTAGTATCAAAGTAGATCATCAAATAATTGAGAGCATATCAGAAAACATTTTGTGCCAACAAACGAAGGATCTCTGGAAATGAATTGTGTCTTACATGTACATGTAAGATAGCAGAAAAAGTTGGAATAATTTATTTCTATTGGTGTTTTACTCGTAGTCAATATCTCCTAACGACGTAAATTTGCGCATCTTAAAAATACATCATACGTTACCTATTTTCATAAAGAAGGTCATTTGTATTATCCAAGTTATATACGCTTGGAAAATTTATTATTAGTTATTTTCAAGTATTGGAAGCTACATGAATATGTACATTTGCTGTTATGTTTTAAAAGTTTAAAATAGGGGTCAGGATTACTTTTTAATATACAAGTTCAATTTTATAAATCATACACATCTTTGTTTACTTTATATATGCGTACAGGCTTACAGACTGAATTAGTTATCGAAATTACAGTTATATAATTCCAAAGGTTTCTGCTGATACTTTGTGCATTTTTGTTCTCGTATATTTTATCACTCATGTAATACATGTATTGGCCATCTTGTTTATCAAAATAAGGGCAAAATATTTGGTATCTGGGTTCTACACTTAAATAAACTACGTTGGTCATACTTATATCGAAATCCAGAACTCAATATTGTCTCTCACTTCCTGTTTACAGGTGATGGAAATTAAAAGATTCAAGTCCAACCCTTTCATAAACGTACTTCAAAATGTTTGTATTACGTAATTCTCATATTTTGACGTTTATACTAGTTGAGCACGATTCTCGCACTAATCTGACGGCATGTTAACCATTTCATGCTCAATAGAAAAAGTTAAAGCATAAAGGATAGTTTACGCGCACATCTGCTTAGTGGCTCCACTGGTGATTACTGAAAATCCTGAACTACCCTATTTTACCCCGCAATATAAAGAGTAAACAAGATACTTTTATAATGTAAAGGTAATGCTCTTGTGACAGCAACATGGTTAGATAAACATTGGCACTCTTAATTAACAGCAATCGAGATTTCTATTTGTTAATATTGGATAATGCCGTTCTTTTATTTGTTCTCATTCTGAATTAAGTCCCCGTGGTAAATAACATGCATATTAGACAAAGATGTAAAAGAGAGTATCCATATAAATGTGCTTTTATACATAAATTACATTTGTACCTTCTGAATTTAAAATAAAATAGCTAAATTCACTTGTAATAAGCTCCAAAATATCCTTCATTTGACCAATCATCAGATATCTATATATATATTTTTTTTAAACGACTTACACTATTTTGTCTTGTATTGACTTTATTTCCAGTTAAATCCTTAATAGTACTTGATCCGACTTTGATATTTGTTTTGGGGAGCACATTTACTTATTATAATAACAATTTCTTTTCTGTGATCTTCTCAAATTTTTGACCATTTTTCTTTATTTTTCATTTTGTCTCATACAAAGTAAACGTAGCCATAATTCGAGCGTTTTTGTAGACACTTACCTGTAAGAACGGGACGATCTTGCACATAGTTTCTCCAAGATACCAAGTTTCGGTGACATCTGACATCATTGTCGGCGGAAGACACACGAGGATGACCAGAAAGTCCGCAACGGCAAGGTTAAAAATAAAAATATTAACGAACGTTTGCATATGGTGACAAGTGTAAATAACATAACAGACCAATGTGTTTCCAACTAATCCACTGCAAAAGAGTACTATATAAAGGCCAATGTAAATCCACTCCACGAAATTTGGGAAAATGTACTCATTCTCTATATAATGTTTGCACATTTCACCCATAACACAACCAGGAAGATCTAGACAACTGTTCAAACATTTTGATACACTTAATGAAGTCATGTTCTCCATTTTTGTTTTTCTTTTGAAAAAATTGAATTTCCCCCTACATTTATATAAGATTTTTAACGGTTGGCCATACTAATCACGTGATGGCATTTAACTGTTTGGACTTTACTGTTGCAAAGCTTTGATGCTGAATGACTTCGCTCAGGAAAGATCCAAGAGTAATATATTCCCAATTGATTTATTCCACTTTAAAACTAAAGGGGACTTCGCTTTCCATACATCCGGCTTTTCGCCGCATTCATTTGGTAACTGTTGAATTTTGTTTCGTCAATCCGATACAGGAACCGCAGAACTTTCTGAACTAATGGGGGAGTTTGTTGGCATGTACAGAAAGCTATTATGCAAAACACACCGCTTTTTTTTCTTTTTATGTGCCCAGTCGATTAAATAAGCTAAATCAAAATAGTTAATCAAGTTTTCAGAGATATTAAGATGGTAAAGGACAAGATAATAAGGACAGCTGGACGAGGCAAGTCTATCAAGGATTAATTATAACAAAGTGAAAGACATGAAGGCCATAAAATATGATATAATGCGGAAATGCAGCAAAGAAAAACAGAAATATTTTGCTCTTATCAAAAAGTCCTAGAGTGTTATTAAGAAATGAATATAGATAATTTGTGGAGGATCTGAATATCAGTGGTTTAATCAGGTTTTGATAACCAATATGGCACCACCTTTGAATTCAAATTAACATGGATTTAACAGTAAATGTTCCTAAATAGATATACAACTGATATATTCACACAACACAATCATCATTGTTTATCTGTAAGAGTACAGAACTCCAATTTATGAGAATTCCAAGTTTTTAAGGTAACATTCTGAACGGTGATTCTATTCATTTTAAGTAAAAACTTATTTAATTTGATGCTTTATCATGTGATATTTGCAGTGAGGTTGTCCATGAGGGTTGTTTAAAGCGTTAAATGACCATCACTCAAAAGTGTACACTGAGAATACAGTGTAACACGGTTAAAGTAATGATTTATCTTTCAAGGAAAACCATATAATTTCATCATAATTACATTCACTGAAGATTTTCTCCATAGCCACTTCTTTCATCAATCACTAAACGCCGGTAAACTAGTTAGAACCGGTTTTTCAAGTCACCTGTTTCCATTTCTTGTGCACCGTGCTTCTTCTTCAATGAACATACAATGATGTACATGTACATATTAATAATATAATATTTAACATACTTAAACCTACTTTATATCTATACTTATAAATTAATAAATTTTGCAAATAAACTTATAAACGCCTGCACCATAGTTCATACTTAATCCTCTGAACCAATTTCAACCAATTTTGGCATATAGCATCTGAGGGTGAAGGGAAAGAGAAATTTTGAACTTCATGAACCCTGACTCCCTGGGGTCTGAGAGGTGGGGCTAAAACCACCAAATTAATGTAATCTTTAAAAATCTTCTTCTTTACTCCTGGACATCAAGCAGTCAAACTGTTGGCATGATTGTAATAAGCATTAAGCCCTCTCTCAAAATTGTGAATTTCATGGCCCCTGGGTCAAGTATTCTGGCGCTAGCGCGGGGCTCTAATGATCATATAGTGAAATGCATTAATTCTTTTAAAAATCTTCTCTGCTCCTGGGTATTTAGCCGATGAACTAAGTACATAGTTATGATGAGCAAGAGTGCCTCTTCCAAAATTGTGAATTTCATGGCCCCAGGGTCAGGGGTTCTGGTGTTAGGGCAGGGCTCTAATTATTTAGTAAAATGCATTAATTCTTTGAAAATCTTCTCCTCTGCTCCTGGGTCTTAAGTGGATGAACTAAGTACATAGTTATGATGAGCAATGGTGCCTCTTCCAAAACTGAATTTCATGGCCTCTTGGTCAGGGGTTCTGGTGTTAGGTCGGGGCTCTTAAGATTATGTAGTGAAAATGCATAAATTCTTTGAAAATCTTCTCCTCTGCTCCTGGGTATTAAGCGGATGAACTAAGTACATCGATATGATGAGTAATGGTGCCTTTTCCAAAATTGTGAATTTTAGCCCCTGGGTCAGGGGTTCTTGTTAGAGTGAGGCTTAATTGATCATATAGTAAAATGTATAAATTCTTTAAAAAAAACCTTCTTCTCTGCCACTGGGTATTCAGTGGACAAACTAATTGCATGGTTATGATAAGCAGGGTGCCTCTTTCAAAATTGTGAAATTAATCGCCCCTGGGTTAGAGTTCCTGATAATGGGTGGGAATCTATTGATTATATAGTGAAAACGCATTATTTTTTTCAAATCAAAATGCATCAATGCTTTAAAACTTTTTTTCTGCTTCTGGGCATCTAGGAGGCGAACGGAGTAAAAAGTAGTGACGAGCAAGGGTATCTTTAGCAGATTTGTGAAATTCTTGACCACTTGGTCAAGTGTTCTTGTACTTGGCATGGTTTGATCTTGCAGGGAAATTTTTACTCTACTGAGAGAAGTTTTTTTCCCCTCTGCTATTCATCTATGATAATTAATCACTGTATATAATGTAATTGATAGGTAAATTAAATAAAAGAATTCTTAAAAGTCTACCAGAGGGCTCTCTGATGGGCTAAAACTTTACTAATGAGAAATTTAAAAAATCTCAACCTCTTGCAAAGCAGAAAAAACAGCGTGCTAACATAATTAGAGTCTTTTTTCCCCATTTGTGACGAAAGATTCTACGCACAGTGTTTATCAGTTTATTCTGACCAGAGAGGAATAGAAAAACTAAATTGTATATACACACACACCAGGTAAAAAAAAACCCAACAAAAAACAATGCAATGAATTACTGTAAACGTACATGTATGGCTGTGTATTCCATTGGCGGAAAGAAACTTCCGCTAAATCAAGTACATCGCTAAACGTATTTTATACATTCATTTATATTTTGCATATTCTGAAATTCGCTTATTCAAATCTATGCTTACTTACTGAAATATCAATTTCCGCCATATATCGTACATGTTAAATAAAATACATTTATAGTTTATGTCTTGATGTACTCTACTTGTGTACCGTTATTGAAATTATAGCAAATAGGAGGTGTAACACTTGAAAGAATTTCAAAGATATTTTTTTAAGTAAGCATAGCGACAACCTCCTTTAGAAAAGATCACGTGTATTGTTTTGACCTACTTTGTTTTTAAGTGAATAAAATTATAGGTTGTGTATACTTCAGACAGATAAAAGGCACTTCGAATAGCCATCATGCTCTCCTGTGTTTGACTAATGCATGTAGAGCTTGAATGTTTACTTAAGGTGTATTATCAAGATCGCTGGGGAATAAGGCAGTGAAAAAACTTTTGAAGAGTGTTAAAGATACAGAAATGCCTCCAAGTAACACAGGCACTTGGGGTATGGACCCCCCCCCCCTTTTCCATTTTTTTTTCTTTTTAAATCTTGGGTCGAGTCACCTTTTTCCTTCTTTTATATTCTAATATGCACTAGATGTTATCAATAATGTAACTCTTTTGTCTCTATATGCCGTTTTTAAATATACCGTTTTCGACTGATACATAAAAAGAGAGAAGGCTTGCAACTCTTTTCTCGTCGTCTGCCTCACCTCGCTTAAACTTCGCCTGATTATTTATCTAAAGCATAAGAACACATGGGATATGCATACATCAATAAATTTGTTACACATTCTTCTTCCTTTTCATATTTCCATTTATTTTTTATGTGCCCCCGATTTGTAAATATTTCGATTAAATCAACCGCATCTAGGGTAAATTTTGTTGATGTGCACTAGCTGGGACGGAAGTGCAATAACGGTAACTCTAACTTTACAAATGTTCTGCATTAAATAAAAATTCCAGGCTTTGTAATAAAAAAATATTGAGAAATTTGGTTGTCTAGGTCGTATGTTAAATGATAATCTTCATCCATTAGAATCTGCTAGTTAGAGTTACCTTGTTATACACAGAACTTACCGTTACATGTAATATGAAGAGAAAATTCGGGATTTTTCCCTCTTGCATTTAATGTTCCGAATGACATTACACTGAATAATGACGCCCGAAAATACCGGACACTTCCGTCCCAGCTAGTGCACATCAACAAAATTTACCCTAGATGCGGTTGATTTAATCGAAATATTTACAAATCGGGGGCACATAAAAAATAAATGAAAATATGAAAAGGAAGAAGAATGTGTAACAAATTTATTGATGTATGCATATCCCATGTGTTCTTATGCTTTAGATAAATAATCAGGCGAAGTTTAAGCGAGGTGAGGCAGACGACGAGAAAAGAGTTGCAAGCCTTCTCTCTTTTTATGTATCAATCGAAAACGGTATATTTAAAAACGGCATATAGAGACAAAAGAGTTACATTATTGATAACATCTAGTGCATATTAGAATATAAAAATAGGAAAAAGGTGACTCGACCCCAGATTTAAAAAGAAAAAAAAATGGATAGGGGGGGGGGGGGTCCATACCCCAAGTGCCTGTGCCAAGTAAAACCCTGTTGTTAGATGGATAAATCTGATCATATTAAAGCTGTCCTGAGGAACCAAATGTGTATAACTGTAATCTTCAAATGTTTTTTATTCGTGTTCAAGTAAAGATGATATCTTTCATTACCAAATATAATATTTGCTTGTCATTCAATTTAACATTTAGTTACCCCTTCATGGACGACATTTTCAAAGTATCAATTAACAATTAGTTGTCGACTCGATATATCCCAGTGAACTCGAGATAAATAAGTACTACAGAGTCTGTATTTGTTTCATATTTGGATGTTTTTCTTACGATAATGGACAACTAATAACTAAACTGTATGACAAACGGGATGACTTCAACGTTTCCATCGTCAACTACACTCACTAATGTGGTAATATTCCAGCATCACCTGCATATGGTGTTTATTCGATACACGGGAGCATGCTCTGAATACGATAAATTTTATAACCTAGGCAAACCACTGACGAATAAGTTGATGTTATGCTCTGAATATGATAAATTTAATAACCTAGGCAAGCTACTGAGGAATAAGTTGATGTTTCAATGATTTCGAAAACCCCATTTAAA